CTATTAAATCTCTCATTTTTTTAGTACTAAAAAATTTTATATCATGTTTAAATAAATTCTTTGCAATAATAGTCATTATTAGGCTGATATGTAGTTTTGTGAGTCTAGTTTTATCAAGATTACTTGTGTTCTTTTTTTATTCTTGTGGATTTTGTAAGCTTTCCTCTTTGTATTATATATAAAACAATGAGCATACTGGCAGAGTTTTAAAGTATTTTCAATATATCTTTCTTCATCAGGTAGATATTTAGGACAACAAATTTTAAGTGCTCTTAAGTAGAACCCTGTAATTATTACGGATTCTATTTTGTTATTGTGATATAAGTAGAAGTTAATGTGATCATTTTTGTCAGTAGAGTTTCAGTTAATCAGATCAACAAGCACCTAAAGAAAAGCTGGAGGGTATAATGGTTGAAACGTTGTCATAATAACAACAAAGACGAAGACTATAGTCTGAGTGTAATGTAAGTAATTACTCCTCCTCCAAGGAAATAGGTAGAATTTTGGGGAGATGTTTAGTTTTTGATCATGAGCAATGTGGTTTAACTTTGTATCAAGGGACAGTAAAAATTTGTCATGTTAAGCCTGAAGCAAGAATTTACAGGAAAGTTTAAATATCTGAGAAGTGTTTTAACGGAGACCGGAAAATGCGAAACTAAAGTCCAAACATACTCCAAAAGTTAAACAGACTACTGAACAACAGAAAAAATTCATTAGAAACAAAGAAAAGAGTGCTGGGTTGCTGTATGATAGCCGTACTCTTGTATGGAAATGAATGCTGGACAATCTCCCCATAGAAGAGGAGAAAACTAGGCAACAGAAATAGGGTTCTACTGAAGGATACTGAGAATTTCATGGACAGGGCAAGTAAGCAATGAGGAAGTCTTAAAATAGCAATAAATGAAACTTTTCTCAGAATCAAAAAAAAGATAGTTGAAATTCCTTTGACGTGATGAGGAAGCATAGTTCAGGAATGTAAACTGTCGCATTTTTTTTAACCTTTGCAGAGCATATTGAGGGCAAGAAAGATAGGGGAATAGCGCAAGTCACCCACATGACATGTTTGGATATCACCCCAGTTCACACTCTTTCCCGGTCCTTTTAAACAGGAGTAGAGGTTTATCCCTTGTTTCCTGTTCAGGATTGGGTTTCCGGTATTCTTTTAAAGTCTCCTCCAGGAGGGTGGGAGTTTTAGCAAAGGGAGAAAAGCTGCTAAGAGTCACAAGAGATAGGAAGATGTGGAGATCCATAATCTCCAGTGTCCCTGATGGGATGCAGCACATAGAAGAAGACAGAGGTTCATCAGTGATGGGCACACTCCTCTTTTTAACCTCCTCAAAATTATGAGGAAGTATTTGAATTTCACGTATTAACTCAACTAATTCACCAGAGTATATGATTACTTGTTTTGTGGGTGTGGTTAGTGCAGCTCCATCAATTTAATAATTGTTTCTAACGGTCAAAGATGCTGGAGAGATAGAAAAATGCCTAATTAGTAAGTCAAAGGATCATTATTAGTATTATTGAATTTTTACTACGTAACCTCAGATAAAGTGAAACCGGTCTAGATTCAGGTCGCTAGAAAATAGGTGGTGTATCATTATTGTAAGTCGATATGATTCCTTAGTTTAGTTTGGTTTACAGCATATCAACCTCAATGGGTTATTTAATGCCAACAGGATTTTTATTGCTGGAAATTTATTTTTTACAAAACTGTATTGCTGGTAATATTTTTTTTCAAAATGTATTACTGGTAATATTTTTTTCCTTCAAAAATTCATTGCTGGTAATTATTTTTTTCCTTCAAAAATTCATTGCTGGTAATTATTTTTTTCCTTCAAAAATTCATTGCTGTTATAAAAACCTATTTTTACACTTTCATCCCGTTTTCATCCCTTTGAGGGGTTAACTATTTGCCCATAGCTGGGACCCTAACAGGTGCTACCACTCCAGGTCAGGGTGGCTCTAGGAACACCAGCAATTAAGAGGTCGTACCACATCCTCAAAACCTTCTGATCAGAAGCCTTACAGTTGGGTGTAGTTTATCGCCTTACCCAGGACACTATGATTCTTTAGTGTTCCAATTTGAACCCGTTTAATTATATTTTGCAAAATAGTTTCATAAATGTGTTGAATGCAAAATTCTTTTTTTGACTTGGCCAAACAAGGATAAGCTGAAAAAAAATCTAAATTGTCATTGCATTGAAATTTTCCAGTTTTCATTGTATTTTTACAGCTGGTTAACTACTTTAGCCAAATAT